TCTAATTGATGACAGAGGCAGATCAACATAGAAGATGAAGCTGCAACTCATTCAATCTCATACCAGAACAATGGTAGTGAACACAAAAAGACAGAGAATTTACTGTCAGGTAGCAGCTAAAGAAGAAATACCCTTGCACTTTGAATATGTACTCTGTTTACAGAGTAAAGAAAGCAACTAAATAAAGCCAAGATCAAGTTGGAGTGTATTCTACCAATGACTGTGTAACTAATCATTAGAAATCGTAACACACATACCACAGAGGCCAATATTAAATTGAGTTACTGTCATGTTAGTATGGTCTTCTGGTCTATTCAATCAAATACTGGCTGTTTAAAACCCAGAGGGATAAGTTCTGTTCTTAGTTACACTGATGTCCTCAGTGGAAATTGTTAAGAATTGTGGCCAAGAAAAGAGTTTACAGCACAGTAGATGTTTAAAGAAATGTTCGTATTAATTCAGATTTTATTCCAGTACCGGAGCTATACAGTGAAAAAGATGACATCTCCATATAGCACATACTCAATTTTTTATTATGATGGAGATTAAGAATACAATGTTTTGCAAAGATGACATTTTATAACCTTGTAAAAACCCTCTTACTCAAACCATACCCAAAACAAGACAACTCTGTTACAGTCCTCCTAGTTGGCCTCCAAAGTCACCAGAAACAATGACCTCTAAAAAAGAAGATTTTCTTTCTGTATTCAGTCAACTCATGACTGTCAGCAAGCAGATAACAAGACACAGTCAAGAACCTGAGCAGTATCTAAGTTCCAAGATTGATATTCGTCATACAACTTACTGCTCAGGGATTCTGTGATGCCATACATGTCCTACAGGAAGTATGTAATTGTTCCCAGTTTCACCCATACCCAATAATTTGTAAAAGACATGCCTTGAAAGCCCTGAATAGACAGCACTAAAAGCACCTTAAATAGATAAGCCTTAAACACAGTGATCTCAAGAAAATGTGATGCAGAAACAAAAACTAATAGCTTTTAAACCTCATCATTACCTGAGTAAACTCACTGTCAAATTAAGTACAGAGATGGAATATAGAAAATAATTTATACCAATTTTCTAGGTTTTCTTAGGGTCACTTCAAAATTTTAAGAAGATTAAGAGTTTACTATGGCAAATACAAACTAAAACATAGTAATTAGAAGCAGAGAAGTGCCTGATGAACAATCATATAATACAAAGAATATTAACGACATTATCCTGTCTGTGGAATCTGGGAAAAAATACACTTCAAAATTGCAGAAATGTTAAATGTAAAATACTTCTTGCAGATTTTCAATCCAAAAGAAACCCACTTATTACAGTATTTGTTGAAGCCTGGTTGTAATTAAATAAGGAAGGATATTAAAACTTCCAAGAGATTTTTTTAAGCCACAACAGAAGAAAAGGCACAATTGCATAATTGGAACCAAATCCAAAACCCACTTCCTTCTTATTTACTAGTATCATCTAAAGGACACTATTTAAATGCTGAAAGGTCAGGAGCTGACAACTATGAATCATCTAAAAGTCAAAAATTTCAAAGGAATTGTACAACATGGGTTAAAAGTTTATAGATGAGAGATATAGAAAATTAGTGCTCACTGCAAAACCACATCCTAGGAGTCACTGTATCTCTTGTCAACAAAATCAGAGAATCCTATTTTGTTATGGGAAAAGAAATCCTCTTGGGTAGCAATAAGTGTTTGCTACACAGAATTTGAAAGAAAGACGTCTTTTTTAAGATATTAAAAATAATATATCTTCAGAGAACAGGATTTCACTTGATAATTTGGTGCTGCACAGACCAGTTAAATACAAAACTAACTTGCCAGTCAGTGGGATATTTCTTTAAAAAGCTTCAGATCACTTTCATTGGCAGTTGAATTCAGCTCAATGCTCTTTGTCATTTGCATATCTGTGCAGGAAATTAGTATCAAAAGCATTTTCCAGCCCTACCCTCTGGGAAAAAAAAAAATCCTCTTGCAATCCTATAAGGCATGCAGAAAAGTGATAGCACAGATATAGATGGGCATGTACATGCTAGGTTTTTTTGCTATAAAATAAACCATGCAGTTTTCACGATTTTCTAATCGAGTGCCTTAATTCCTGGTTTTTTTTTTTTTCCTTTCTGACATAATCAAAGACATCAACACTGACCAATGAAGACATATGTATTGGTCAGCTTCACGATTCTCAGTTCAAAACAAAGGGCTGGACAAAAGATGCAAGTACACTCCTACGTTAGCTCAGTGCATGAAAAGCTGGCAAAACCAAAAAGTTTCATACAAGTCCCTGCTTTTGCAACACTATTAATAGGAGGACGGTCCAGTAACGCATTTATTTTACACACAGAAAATTCCTTTTTTCTCATTAAAAAATATTACACTTCAATGAAACTCATTCTGAAGGAAAAGTTATCATGATGCATCTGTTTGACCTCTAGATCCCATCATTAATCAATGACAACAAGAATCTAACAAACCAAAAGTCTACAACTTTAGGTTCCTTATAGTTTTGGCAGCATCCATGAGAAACTTCTAAAGGTCATTCTTTTTAAACATTCATCACATGAGGAAGAGCTAGTTTTAGGTATCTTTGCTTGGATGTAAAACCCTAATCCCTGTGAAAGCATGGATCTTATCACAGTAATTGTCTAACTTTCCTTTAAAAAACCCATTACCATCAGAAGTCCTGTAAGAGCAATTTTATTATTTACTTATTTAATTTTCAGATTTGTGCTACTGTTATTAAACTCACCCTTAAATACTTACAAATAACCACCAGTATTGCAAAAAGAAAGAAAATTAACCAGAAAAACTAGATGTTCTCTCTGAGGGAGGCTCAACAGTCAGCTACATTTTACTTCATTCATTTTAACACATTTTTTTAATAGAATTGATCACATGGGTTTATTTTTGGTACTCTAGCACCTCATCTACAAACATTTCTTCTAACTGAATATATGTTCTCATTGCAGTCTTGGGCCAACACCCTAAAATTAATTTGGACTGAAGTAACAGGATTATCTAAAAAAAAAGCACCATTTTCTGAATAACATTTTATACCCATACACTATTCCAAAATACCAACTTATTTAATTTATCCAACACTGAAGTAAATAAAACCACTTATTTTTCAATGAGAATGTGCATGTATGGAATTACCTGTTAATAACTTTTAGACAACTATAATTTGGTAACAAGCATGGAACAACTTAATGTTTGAAAATCTCAAAAAACTACTAAACTTTCCCTTCACCATCTAGTACTTTTTCAGTTAAGCTAAGCATATAGAAGACAAACACCACCTCACATGCTTTGTTCACTAACACTTATCCAGGTCTTCAATCCCTTTCCTATGTATCCCAGTGAGTGGCCTAAAGGACAATGTGTAAAAGTTCAGACAGAAATTCTGCAATATAAGAACACTTTTGTGCAGAGTTAAATCTATCCTAACCAAGAAAAAAGATTCCAAAGACAAATGAGGTAGCAAGCTGAAATACAAGAGCTACAGCAAAACCTAACTCTTTTTACCTTCAGCATTTGATAAAATATCTAATAAAAATCAAGAAAGTTTCATTTAAAAAAAAAAAAGCCAAAAACGGTGGAATAAGGAATTAAAAAAACAAACAAACAAAATGCAAACAAACAAACAAAACCAAAATACATTAATAAAAAATAACAGAAATCCTTTTAATAAAATTAGAAATGAAAAAGATCAAGGACAAGTTGCCATAATATGGAACACTACAATATCTTAAAAATAAAATCCCCTAACTATTAAAAGGTATTTAACATACATTTAAAATATTTTTCTAAACTGCTTATTACACTTCTCAAATGCAGACACACTATTTACAAATATGTTTACATATAATTAAATTCAGTCCTTACAAACATTTGTTCTGAAACAAATGAAAATTTCTTTGTTGATTTAAGCAAGGGCTTCCCCTCCTTTCCAGATCTGATTTTGGAAGGTATTTAGACAAGAGCAGTAGGCACTAAAACAAGAGCAACCTCAATCATTAGTCTTAATCACTATTATTATACAATGATATAGGTGGGAAGGAACATTTGGAGATCATCTTGCCCAACCTCCTGCTCACACCTGGCCCACCTGCACAATGGGCACTGTCATCTCTCAACTGTACTGACAGATACAATGTGAAGACAAATACAACTGAATAAAGATGAAAAAAATGGAACACTGTAGTAGCTTTGATTAGAACTTCATATAATTTTGATGCACATTTTAAAACATAAACAAAAATTCCTCTGCAAAAAATACCCGTTTGGTACCAGCAAGTACCTACATCAGCAAGACAACATATCATCCAATCACACGCAGCTCATACCAACATCACTTTCTTTTTACAAATTATAAATCATTGCACCATTGGTGCTTAACTGTTCAAAGAAAATTTAAAGTTCTCATTATTTGTAGTATATGGTATATCTTTCATGATCAAAACAATTTTGTCTTCAATACGTCTAGAAAAAATTCTGCATCTTCAAGTTTACTTTATTCTTTAATTCCCGGAGCCAAAAGGCAGACTTCCTGGACTACATTACTTTGAAACTTAGGTGATACTTGATTACTCTGGGTGATTTTGCTCAAGTTATTCAGCCACTCTGATACTAACACTGCCCAGTGCCAAGGCCCCAAAAACCAGTTTCACCACTTATACTTGTCTTATCTCAAATCACCTACTACAACTGTTAAAATCTCAGAGATATTATAAACCTTGATTAACCTGTGTTTTCCAAGAACATGTAAAAAGTGAAAGCCAAACTTAATGCAACAGTAACTATAACCATGTCATATAAAATGGTCACTACCAGAGTGGCAGAATAAGGAAACTATCACTAATGCCACTAGTGTCATTATTATTTGTCATCATTAGCTGTAGTAACTAATGCATATTAATTTGTGTCCAAATGGTAGGTTTAGGTTCAAAATAAGGAAACAAAAGGAAATTTTTTTAAAACTCCTACCTGAGTTGACAAGAGATTGCAGTCAATGTGCAGCCCTTTTCCTGTCTTATACCTCTGAAGTAAACCAGCCATAATTGCTCCATATGTATACAGCCCAGTAGCAAGATCTGTCATTGCTACTCCCAGTTTAACTGGCTCCCCATCCTAAAGAAAAAAACACCCCAAAACAAAATGAGATAAACAAAACAATAGACAAAACAAACAAAAAAAAAGGGAAGAAAACAAGCAGAAACAATACAATTGTGCAGGGCTATGATCTTATTGGCATCACAGAGACATGGTGGGATGACTCCTATGCTGGGAGTGCTGGAATGGAAGGATATCAGCTCGTTAGGAAGGACAGGCAGAGGAGATAAGGACATGGTGTTGCCCTCTATATAAATGACCAGTTGGAGCGCATGGAGTTCCACCTGGGGATGGATCAAAAGCTGATGGAGAGCACAGGGAGGGCAGTTACAGGTGACATTACATTGCTGCTACAGGCTGCTCATCCAAGAGGACAGTGTGGATGAGGCCCTCTACAGAGAGACAACAGTGGCCTCACATTCACAAGCCCTGGTCCTCATAGGAGATTTCAACCATCCTAGTACTTGTTGGAAAGACAACACTGTAGACCCAGACACTGTAGAAAAAGAGCAGGTTCAAGACAACCTAAGGAACCTGAACATGGACAAGTCTATTGGACTTTATGACATACATCAGATGTAGGTCCTGAGGGAGCTGGCAGTGGAAGTGGCTAAGCCACTCATTGTAGCCCAGTGAAGTTCCCACTAACTGGAAAAGGGGAAACATAGCGCCCATTTCTAACAAGAGAAAGAAGACGACCCAGGGAATTACAGGCCCATCAGTCTCATCTTCATATCCAGCAGGATTATGGAGCAGATCCTCCTGAAAGCTATGTTAAGGCACATGGAAAGTATGCAGGTGATTTGTGACAGGCAATATGGCTTCACTAAGGGCAAACTGTGCCTGACAAATTTAGTGGCCTTCTATGATGGGGTTACAGCAGTTGTAGATATGGGAAGAGTGACTGATGTCATCTTCCTGGACTTGTGCAGGTAACTAACCCACATGACATCCTGGTCTCTTAAACTAGAGAGTCATGACCTTGATGGATGGACCACTTGGCGGATAAGAAATTGGCTGGATGGTTGCACTCAAAGAGTTGCAGTCAATGCCAGAAATCAGTATCTTTGAGTGAACTGAAGTATAAGAACCACCACTGAAAACCAGATATTCTTACAGCAGGTACACAGAACTGTCGCTTTATGATGCTGCATACCGCAAATTGTGAATGATTTGCTATGTAACTTTTTGTCCCTAATAACATAATGCTTCAACTTACCAGTGCAAAAAGAAAAGAGATAATGTTAGACACAAGAGAAGCCAGTGAAGACCAAATTTTGCCATGCCCAGAAGCCAAAGGTCTAAACAGTTTCCAAGGTGTGCTGACACAGGTGCCTGTCTGTTTGAAAGGCAGAACCATATTGCTTCATTGTTCTCACTCCCTTTTTCTCCCTTCTCTTCTGTCCCTCCCCCAGTCAAAGGTCAGTGTTGTATTTTCCAGTATACACACTTCAGGCTTCTAGTAAGAAAAAAAGAACAACTTTTTGTTTAGACATGTAAACATTACACATGTAAAGACAGGCAAATTCCTGACCTTCTGACTGAAATCACTGAAAAGTTGTTGGTTCAAATATCCTTTTTCAGTATGTCGTCCCTTTTCTGGCATCAAGGGAAGAATCTTCATTTTACTCATGTGTTTCAGAACTTCTGTAATCATTGGCATGAAATACAACCCTTCTGCAATCAATGGCAAAATGAACTTCTAATTTCAGTCCAGCTAGGCTTTTATCAAAAGATCTTAAAAGTGCTTCTTCTGAGACATTCTTCCATTTCCTATTCTGAAAAGTTTGAGGTCAGGTGATCAGCAGTTCCTTGTTTTGAAGTATTTTTTTTTAATTTTCAAGTTTTGAAGAAAAATAGAAGTGCAAAGCTAATGGGACTGTTCCAGACCTTTAGCTCCCCCATAAACCCATCATAAGACAACTCAAAATCAGTATAATTGATAAATAATAACTGCTTGTGAAGTACCCATAAATGTATTTAAACTAATGTAGCATAAGTTCAATAAAATTTAATATACAGAATTATTTTAATTAGCCATATCTAAGCTTCTAAGTGTAATTATTGTAATAGTAATCTTGTAATCAAGATTGCAAGAGTAACTGATAATTATTAAAATTATTTTTAAAAGAGTGTCTTGACTTCATGTAAGAAAATTAATCTTCACCATCTTTTTTCTTTTGCACTCCAACAGGATTTACATAAATCTGGTGTCAAGTCATATATAAGTTACAATATTTTTCTTAAAATAATTTTATTATTAATTGCATTAATAGAGCAATTTTGAAATGAAAGGTAGTAGGACAATATTTCCTATGTAAGGTGGAAAAGGCTGCTATTTTATTCATATCATGGAAGTGACTAAAAATTATAAAATCTGTATCAAATATGACAAAGTTAAAAAAAAATCTGAATTACTCTCATTCAAACTGCAGTAAGGATTAGTCTGTGGCTATCTATAGCCTAGATATCTATAGATTGATATGTAAACCACACAACATTAAGGTGAACACTGCTTTAGGAAGTACTACTTTTTTGAAGAACCTCTTATTTCTTCCTTCTCCACACTCTACACCAAGCAACTTCACCTTCCCAGTAGAAAAGACAACTCAAAGGTTCCAGTCATTTACTACTCTCATTGTACCCAGCTCTGGGGGAAAACAGGCAAGAAAGTTGTTCTGTTTTATGTGTGCAAAGGCCTACTGAAAAAACTAATTAGCACTGGAATGTTTTTGATCTGCAGAGCTATCACTAAGAAATAAAATGCAAAAAAGAAAACAAACCTAAAAATGTTTCCCCTCTATTATCTGCTGCAAGATCTCAGTTTGTTAAATTGTTCTTTCTTCATTACAGTAATTTCATTACATTCACCGAGTTGAGAAAAAAATTAAAAATACTTTAGATTTTGCAAACACATGTGCAGCAACATTCTTAGTTTGAAAACACTTTTCATCATTTTCAAAGTGTCATTAATTTCACCCTTGAATGAGAAAACTACACTTTGAAGATTCAGAAATCAGGACTATTCCAATAGATTATTACATACGAATTTGCTTGATTCCCACACCTTCCTCATCAAGTACTAAACTACCTACTGTTTAAAAGCAAACACTTTATTTGCCTCAGTAAAAAGTTAACTTTTATTTCTAAAATACTTTCATGATTTCCCTTTACCGAACACTCCTGCAAACTACTAGCACTATATTGTTATTCTTATTTTTAACATGTTAGCTTTACTTTACCCTAATACTTCACAACCTATAATTTTGAACAAGTCCACACAAGTTCTAGCCTTCTTTGGTCTTTCCTACCAAGGTTCATGACTAGCTGCCATTTTTCACCGCTTAATCAGCTTTAATCAGCTCCTGTACCATAAAACAGCCTTTCGGTGGTAGGATGCTTAGCTGTAAGTACTGTGAAACAGATTCATTCAGGCTTTCATCTCTGTCCTGCAGAAGAAGGGAAGTGAAGCTGCTTTACATGAAGGATAAAGCTCCACACACACAGAAATACTTTCCTTTAGACAGAGCTTCTGACAGCACAGCAGTAGTTTTATGTAGCTAACTTTACTTCAGTTACATGAACAAAGTAAGGACCTATACAGCATCTTTGATACAAGGAAATTACTCAAAAGTAACAAACACCACCACCTCTCTCAGCCAAAAGTGGTATTACTGTTCTGGTAGAAAGACGAAATATAGTCCTAGTCAGGGAGAAGTGCCTTAAGCAAACAAAGCTGCATCAAGGCTCAAAGACTGGGTTGAACCCTAATTAGGTGCAGCACCAGGACATGCCCTTTTCTCATTTGAAAAGAAAAAGATTCACGCCAGTAGAGTGGACCTTTTCTTACATCACTGTGCTTTACTTATCACTGTGCTCAATCTTATGACCAGTTTACACTTTTATGCCTAATTTTTGCTGCTTGCTAAATTCCTTACAATTTGTCAGCATATTCTGGCCCAGAGATAGCCACAACATGTTTTGGAAGCTTCCTTTCCTGAACCTATTTTTTGCTCTTTGACATATTTTCTATTCCCAAACTTACAACAATAATATAAAAATCATCCATTAAAAATGAAAATTGTTTTGAAATGACCTGCTTAATAAAAGCATTCTAAGTCCAGTAGTCTTTACAGATGTGAAAGAGTTGCTGGAGCTAATATGAACCAGCAATGGCTGTATTTTTCAACAGCTCTGAGCTATATACCAGGTGTACCCCTTTGTTATAATTTGTTCGAATTTAAGTTGAAAAATGCTCTCTCTGGATTGTAGATCCCAATCATGTCTTGCTGTCTGATATTCAGTAAAACAAAAATATTTCTTCAGCAGGAAAGAATGCACCACCATAAAGATACTTTGAATACTGAAAACTCCATGTAATAATCAACTTGGAGATGCAAGGGGATTTGTATTCAAATTGGGCTTTATTTAATTAATTTCAAGTTATTGCCTTAATGAAATACTTGTTCATTAAGGAATGATGAACAGAAATGTTCATCAAAAGGATATTCATCTGGCACTGATATATCTGAATATATTAAGTAAAAAGTTTCTGTTCCTCAAATATGAAACTTGAATGTGGTGTTTAACTAGGATATATCTATAAATTTTTTTATCCAGGACAATAAAAGTGTCATCAGGGCAAACTTTGTCCTTTAGCATATTTTAATTTATGTAAAGAAAACCTGAATGTGGCCTGAAGCAACTACTTTCATTCAAAATGGGTTTGTGTTACCGATTTATACAAAACAGATTCCCCTCATAAACACACTAGAATTTCAAATTTCATAGGTGTCATACATTTCTAATACAGAAGTAATCAAGCACATGTGTAAGAGCTGGAATTCCATGTATATTTCTGTACATGAACACATGACTTAAAGATAGTATTCTACCGTGTTTGGTTTTGTACAACCAGCAAAAATCACACTAGCACAAATGCATCTGTTTGTGCCTGTAACTTCACAATATTGCAGAAGTTATAGCTTGATTTCCAGGTTCAGAATATGCTCAGAAGCATTTCAAACTTATTACCATTAAGTGATATCAGTAACTTCTATTTCCAGGCAGGAAAAGGTAAAACACTGACTTCTTTTTTTTATGCAGGAATATGTATTTCTATTGGATCTATACATTTTTAAAAAGTCAGATACAGGACAAAAGTTTAGTATCCTATTATTAAAATGCTTTGTGAAGAGTTGTAAATATGTATACCTCAATAGTAAGCACTTCAGTCATGTATGCAGATATTTTGTTGCTCCTGCTCAAATTCATTGTAATTTGTCTGTTGCATAAGTTGATGCCTCTAAAATCATCCTGCAAGCACATTCAATGGTTTGTTTACCTAAGTTTCCACAGAGCACTGTTGTACTGATGATGTTATGCTGAATTATCTATAGCTATTGCAATGCAATACAAAACCAACACTGTCTGTTATAACTTTTCCTTTTCCAGTTTATAAGAGTGGCCTTTTCTATTTTATTTAAGAAAAAAAAATCGTTTACTAGGGTATGCTTCAAATGAACATATTACCTTTAGTATATAAATTCCATGTTATCTGGTCAACAAATAATTTAAGCTTTATTTTAAAAAGCACCATACAAGAGTGAGTAAGATTCTTTTTTCTTCTTTATTTTGGCCACTTTTCTACATGCTGACTGAAACAAGGTTTTCTGCTTTTGTTCAGAGTTAGTTTTGTGGAATTTTAAACATAACTCAGTCACATGAATATAAATGTAAGAAAAACATGGAAGATTTTACTTTTTCAAAGTAACTTTCAAAGAAGTATACAATATGATTTTAAAGCCACTTGAGTAAATTTTCACAACATCAACAAAAGCCACATTTGCTTCTTTGGAGTCATTGACTACTTGAGTCTTTGAAAGAAAACTGTCCCTCTATACATCAAAAAATGGTTTTGAGAAACTGAGGAAATACTATATGAACAACTTCAAAAAAAGAAAAATAAGAAGCAAGTTTTAGCATGTTTATTTTAATCATGCAAAAGAGTGACTAAGTTTGAATGAATTACTAAAAGGCCCCAGTGAACAGACAAAGCTGTTACTGACAATGATTAAATAATTCCTATGACTACATTGCCTCAAGTCTTGGTGAGGTGATGTGAACATCTGGTTTTCCAGTGCAGATCTTAATACAATCTTTTAACAAAATCCATCATCTTCATAATGGCCACCAAGGACTATTACTCTCATAATAGAACTTATATGCAATTATTCAGTATAACAGTTGTATTTTCTGTCATTCCCATGTCATTGAAAAGCTTTACAAGAATCCTACGTTTTTCAATTTTTCAACATCCTTTCCTTTATTTGTGTTGCACTAACAGCATTTGCTCATTCTATCAGCTTATACTCCCTTTTAATTTTGTTTGGTATATTTTGAAATGTGCATGAAGTTTCTGGCATTGTACTGGAAATATTAATCTCCACCCTGCAAACAATGGTCCAGATGTAAAATTTACTTACACTACAGTTACTGTGATCAGTCTTTGCTTAGTGTATACGTGCCTTACACATTTGAAGGGAAGTAAGAGCCATAAGGACTGCACTCATATCTTCTCGTGTTCTGAGATGGGGCATCCTATAAGTATGTACCAATAACATGGCAGAAATGGACAAACAGTTTCAGGACACTAGGCACAAGATGTTTCAGCTCATTCAGTCAAACAATGCTTGATTTTTATTCTTTTTTTCCTAATAGAAAGGACAACTCTGGTAACAATAATTGCCACAAGCACAGAGTTCTGATGTTTGCCATTATTCTCAGCAGAAAACAAGTCTATTTGGCAGACTATCAACCCTGCAGTAGAGCTGAGTCCAAATCATGTGTGGTTAGCTTTGAACAACCTACTCAAACATGAGTATTTGACACTAAGTAGAGAAACTTTATGCACTCCTTGTTTATCTAGGGCATGCAAGTTCATAGAGATCTGTCCTACTGCTTCCAGAGTATCAGGAGCACCACCACAGAACACTTTGTAGCATTTACAAAGCACAGAACAGACTAGTAACACCACCTTACTTGAGAAGCGACATTTGGAGGCCACATTCCTTGCATCTGTAGGTGATTCAAGACAGCATAAGAAAATGCTTATTTGGCCACCATTTCTCTGAGGTGAAGACACACATTTTATGTATCCCTAGAATCCAGATACTAAACTACCTCGGTCACGCTTCCTGCACTACTGCAACTACCAAGGATCAGTGGGATTAGCAGCACATAAAGCTTTCCAGAACCACTAATGGCATCTCTCTGCTTATTTCCAGGCAGAATGATTGAAAAAACTTTTTGTCAGAGTTATCTACATAGCTTCACAGTTCCCTCTTTTAAAGAGGGAATATCAATATTCAAGCATCGGTGAGATTTCACATATGGTTCCATTATCCAGGCATCAACATGTCTATTACAGCTCTTGAAGTGACAACAAGTGGCCACTAACAGGTTAGCATACATCGTCAATTTATTCCCTGGAGATCTAGGGTTTTTCTTTTTTTCTTTCATTTTCTGTTTCTGGGACATTGGCTTTGGAAGCCTGGAGTGAGATATCTTAGATTCCCAGAGGTGAGACCTCTTGGAGGGCTGGCATAACAGATGTGTTAGCATAGGCTAACTTGTTCCATGCAGCAAACAGTTTTGGTATGCGGCATAGAGATCGTATTAAATTTGTAGGTTAAGCATCATACCTCATGCCCTGTGATATGCATGAGACCAGAAACAGCAGCGGCAATGGAGTCATATCCACCTCTCTGAACCACTGGACCAGTCTGACCATAACCTAAAATAGAAACAGAACAATTGGTAATTCAATCAAGGACAAGTACAACATAAACTAGTATTTCTTCTCAGCTTTTGTTCGCAAGTTGTCCAGATTGTACAACCAGTGAATGCTATTGTATTCTATTTATTCCTGCATATTTTTAAGAGTAAGCAGTTGGATTTATCCTCTGTGGGTTGATGACATGTTTGATCTTAATTCTAGACAGACTCCTGTCTCTGCTATGTTTCATTCACTTTGGATAGAATTACTCTTTTAATTTGCTGGGTCAGCTGAGGTCAAACTCAGATGTCATTTTAGAGGCTCTATGGTATCTCTACAGGCCTCCAATTGGTGTCCAACAGAGCCCATGTTGCCTGTGTTTTATCTCCACTCTAACATAAGGATACCTTGAATACGACAAATGATACTGAAATAATGACATTATGGTGTGGAACACATGAATTGTTCCCCCCTTATTTCTGTTACTTTATTCCACATCTACACAGAGCTACCTTCAAAACAGAACACTGTTTACAAGAGATGGCAAGGCTGGCCCTTTAGCAAGTACACACAATCCGTTTGCCAGGAGTTAGCAACAATGAAATGCAAAATACCAAAAATTTTTACAGAACTACATAAATACAGTTTTGTTCACCTGTAGAATTAACTTAAAACTAACAGCTGTAGCCAGAAGGATGCTCTCTTGCTTTTCTCTGCTATACTCACCATGTTCTCCTAACAACAATCGCAAAATCTTCCAGTCGAGGAAGTCTTGTACAAGCAACTGAGGAGGTCACTCGAACCAGTGACCACCACCACAGAGGGTAAAGTCAACAAAGAGCAACGTTTGATTGATGGTTTCCATTAGTTCTAATAATGGCAGAGCCCTCAATAATCAGATTTAAGCATCTGTCCTCCTCAAAGAGGTAGCAAATTCAAATGCTATTCTCATGCTTTCATTTCCCTTTTCAGATATTTCCAGGAGAAATCCCTTGGCTACAGGAGTAGTTAAGAGATATTTGTCACAGACAAGATTCCTAGTTTGGCTGATAGTTTTAAGGCAACATTTCTGTATTATTCTTAGCTGTGAGGACAGTATTAATACTACATTATATCAACATATACTGCAAGATAAAAATTTCTGAGTCTTCTAGATTCCTTTTCATTATTCTCCTGGAATCTTCTCAACACACAGGCAGTCTGTTCAGTAGACATGACTGTCTGAAGATCAGCTTTGTTGACTACAGCAGACAGTTAAAAACCATTTTTCATTGGGATAATCTTCTTCAGTTCATCCACTTGGGCAAATGCTGTTATGTACAAAATTCATAAATGGTTTCTAATGTACAGTGCAAGGGAATTATGATCACTTTAAACTGGAGTTAAAGCACTTTGTTACTTCAATTTACATATCATACCAATCAAAACAATATCCACTAACCATACGGATTTCCCTATTACACCACAAACTATCTCAATTACTTGATATTTTTCTGGGGACATGAGATCCACATTGTGCAAAGCTGTGGAGGAACTCAACTTCTACACTCAGTGTCGCCAGGAGTATCAGAATATTACAGTCAACCCACTGACTTTGTCAATGTAGCCTCAAAACAAACATTTTGGAAGAAAGAATTCAACACTTTCCTTATGATCAAATCTGATTCTTATTGACGTCATTACTCATAAGAGAGAGAAGAAAAATCCTACCAGTTTACCCAGTTTTACTCAAAATCATGTCTCTGACAACAGCTGACTCCGAGACCCCAAAGAGAACTTGCGACATTTCCTTTCATATTTACACCCATAAGTTTACAGCAAAGAACAGTGTATTCATTTTCAAACATAAGAGGACTAGCAAATAAAATACAGTGAATCCACCCAAAAATGCTCTGAAGGGCTCTAACTAGGCATATACCATTATCTCACTGGAATGTACTGTAGAATTAAAACCAGTTAAGTGTGTGGGGCCACTTCAAAAACAAAATCTTGCTCAATAAAAATTACTCAAAACAATTTTAATTGAATAGTGAAAAGCATATTGAAGCAAGTGAGAAATTACGTACTGGCCTCAATTATTAGCAAAGAAAAGACATCTCAACACATCTGCTCACACAAATGTTTTCATAAACAGAAAACAACTGAAAATGAAACATGTAGTATGTAGACAGAACAACTATACAATGCTTTGCAATGCTCTTCTGGAAAGGACAAACATCCATCCCTCAAACACTGAATTCAGGAAAGGTAACAGGCAATAAGTTAGGCATTTTTCTAGGGGGGTTTTCAAATTTTTTTAAGTCCTTTCCACTACAACACCCTGGTTTCAAAATGAAAGGTATTATTTAACGGCTTTCTGGTTAAAATTAGAGGTTCTAAGGAGAGTTTAATTAGTTTTCACAGGTCACAATAGATTAAAAAGAAAAAAAAAGGCATAATTCTGATTCGATCTAAATTCTGAATGGACAAAGTTAGTGCGGGGACAAAATCTGTTTTCACTGGAAATAGTTTACCCCAGGAACTATGGACATACAAATGCAGATGGGAAAAGGCAGTCATTTACTTGTAGGAGTTAAGTGAAAAATGGCTATTGCCCAAAATGAAAGATCTCATTATCCAGACAAAAATCAAAGACTGAACATTATTATTCTGGTAAACTACACAGGTCAATGGAGCAAGACAGTGCAGAAGCTTCAGAAATAACTATGAACACAAATACAAAAAGCTTGAAGGAGAGCCCAAAATTACATTCAGAAAAATTTCAGCCTGGTACACAGATTTTACCATAACTGTAATGTATACACATACGTGTGCATATATATGTGTACATATACATAAATATATAAAATAACTTCTTAAAGATATAAAAATACCACCTGAAGTTTATGCTTGTCCAAATACCCTATGTTCTCTCATACTTGAATTCAGCATGAAAAGAACAGATTTGCAATTCCACCCTTAACCCTAAATACAGGTTCCTGTTTAGTAAAACACAGTTAGTGGCTTAGAGTTTAGATAAAATGAAAAATACTTTAGGCTAAAAAGATAATCCCAGTTGGATATAGAGAGAATGGATTTAACAGTAATGGTCTCAGAAGGCAAGACAAAGGAAATGATTACACTCCCCTCTAGTGAAGCTTAACACCTTAGGCTACTGTCAAAATTTAAATAGTCTTTAACAGTAGAGAATTTATTTTAGTTCCTTAAGTGCAGTGAATATATTTTTATTTTAGGGAATATATTTCAGAGGAGAGACAAAAGAATTTGAAATTAAATTTAATAAAACTGAGTGTTTTCTAAATCATTTCAGCTGCATAGGTAGCTGCCTAGATGCTAAATCTCATATAAAGTTTAGATTTGTATAAAACAGAATCTGCAAGGAGCAAGAGAAAGTTGCACCATGCTAAATCCCTATTCAACTCCCAGAATCCCTATTCTACACCTTGCACTAGGAAGGCACGATTTATTCTGATAACTGCCACATCTTCATGTGCCTAGATCACAAAATTGTTGCAGTATGAGTTGGTTTCCTCTACTGCAAAATGTAGATCAGTTTCACAATCAAACTGGGTACAAGACAACAATCGCCAGTGAGATCTCCAAGTGCTTCCTAAAAATTGTCATTGTCAAAGCACTATTCAATCTGTATAGCAAGCTCTTGAAACTACCATAAACATAGACGTTCACAGACTCACTGAATGAGAAAGGTTGGAAGGGACCACAGAGAGTCATCAGGTCCAACCTCCCTGCTCCAGCAGGGCTGTCCTAGAGCACATTGAACAAGATTGAATTCCGGTCAGTTCTCGGGTATCTCAAGTGAGGGAGGCTCGAGTGAGGGAGACTGCACAACCCCACTGGCTAATCTGTTCCACTGTGCTGTCACCCACAGAGTAAAGCAGTTCTTCCTCATGTTCAGGTGGAATTTCCTGTGCATCAGTTTCTGCCCATTGCCTCTTGTCCTATTGCTTGGCACCACTGAGCAGAGCCTGGTTCCATCCTCTGACACCTCCCTTCAGATACTTACAGACATTGATAAGAGTCCCCTCTCAGTTGTCTCTTCAAGGCTGAACAGGTCCAGTTCCATCAGTCTCTCCTCATAAGAGAGATGCTCCAGTCCCCTAAAGATCTTTGTCACCCTCCACTTGACTTGCTCCAGGAGCTCCATGTCTCTCTTGTACTGAGGAGCCCAGACTGGACACAGCACTCCAGGCGAAGCGTCACCAGGACTGAGTAGAGGGGCAGGATCACCTCCCTCAGCGTGCTGGCAATGCTCCTCCTAATGCACCCCAGGATACCACTGGCCTTCTTGGCCACAAAGGCACACTGTAGGCTCACGGACAGCTTGTTGTCCACCAGGACTCCCAGGTCCTTCTCTGCAGAGCTGCTTTCCAGCAGGTCAGCCCCCAGACTGTACTTTGTATTTGCCTTTGTTGAATTTCAGACAATTCTTTGCCTGTCTCTCCAACCTGACAAGGTCCTTCTGAAGAGCTCCACAGCGTTCAGCCACTCTTCCCAGCTTTGTGTCATCAGTGAACTTGCTGAGGCATCTGTCCCTTCATCCAAGTCATTGATAAGTAAGTTAAACAATACTGGGCTCAGTACTGAACCCTGCGGTACACCACCAAGGTTACAGATCTCCAATTAGACCCTGTGCCACTGATTATGACTACTGAAGGGTAATTTGCTTATTCAGCATAGTGACTTACACCTAAATCTTTCTCTCCCTGTCCTGACCCTGCAGCCAAGTCTATCTTCTATGTAAGAAAGTATACCTTTACTGTTTGAAGCTTTTTGTGAGCAAGCAAAATTAGCTGGGTATGAGACAAATATGAAAGAACTGGCACTGTCTACTTTGTATCAGCTTAAAGGGAAACACGGGCCTTTATGGGAGACATTTACAAAGCAAATGACATAGCCTTCCACCAGCAATCCTGTATTCCTCACAATTTCCACCAGCAATCTTGTACCCTTAGCTCAGACAAGAACGGAGAAAGGGACTTTACTGGCTCTATTTAGCA